AAGGAAATTGTGGTTTATAAACACAATTGAATACTACGTGGCAATGAGAAAAAATGAAATCTGGCCTTTTGTAGCAACGTGGATGGAACTGGAGAGTGTGATGCTAAGTGAAATAAGTCATACAGAGAAAGACAGATACCATATGTGTTCACTTTTATGTGGATCCTGAGAAAGTTAACAGAAGATCATGGGGGAGGGAAAGGGGGGGAAAATGTTACAGAGAGGGAAGAAGGCAAACCATAAGAGACCCTTAAAAACTGAGAATAAACTGAGGGTTGATGGGGGGTGGGAGGCAGGGGAAAGTGGGTGATGGGCAATGAGGAGGGCACCTGTTGGGATGAGCACTGGGTGTTGTATGGAAACCAGTTTGACAATAAATTTCATATTAAAAAAAATAATAAGGGGCGCCTGGGTGGCGCAGTCGGTTGAGCGTCCGACTTCAGCCAGGTCACGATCTCACGGTCCGTGAGTTCGAGCCCTGCGTCAGGCTCTGGGCTGATGGCTCAGAGCCTGGAGCCTGTTTCCGATTCTGTCTCTCCCTCTCTCTCTGCCCCTCCCCCGTTCATACTCTGTCTCTCTCTGTCCCAAAAATAAATAAACATTGAAAAAAAATAATAATAATAAAACCACAGCTACAAAAAAAAAAAAAGAAAGAAAGGAAAACATTTGGAGGGTGGGTTCTTTAGATATCTCAGGACCATTGTGGAGATCCAGAGAGTATACCTGGAGTGAAAGATATGTTGTCACTGGTGAGAACATAGTTTTATCTTCAAATATTTATGAGAGCAAACTTCCTTACTTTGAGAGTGGGCACCGCTGATGTTTCGGGATGGTGGTCAGGGGGTGTGCCGGAGACCTGTGTTTTCAGTTGCACGCCAGGCTTTGGGCCTGACAGCTTTCAGATCCTGGGCCGATTTGGGTTTATCAGCCGAACACTGTCCCAGCCTGGACCTTGGAAGGACACCAGGAGGATCATTTTCTTTTTTACCTTCTGGCTAGCTGTGCATTCATCCTTTGGGAAAGCTGCTCAGTAGCTGTCAGGAAAAGAAGGGGGAAACTGAAAACATCCTCAGGAAGTCTGTACGAAAATCAAGCAGAGGTGTTGATTTACCTGTTTTCTTGTGCAACGTCAGGGCGATCTGTGGGGGTCTGAGCTGTTAACTGCTTGCTGTTGATTACAGGTTCACCCCGGAGAGCCCCCATTCGACTTGGAGCTATTCTACGTTAAGTATAGAAATTTGTACGTGTTCTTCATATATTATTTGTATTTGGATTTTATATGAATAAAATTTCCTTTCCCTCATCACATCACCTTCTGTATTTTCCAAGAATGGCCCCTGAGGCCTGACCTGTGGATCTTGACTGACTCAACTTCACCTTAAGCAGTAGTACTTACCTTTGGCTATGCAGATAGTCGCCGGGGAAGACCTTGCTCCACTCAGTACCAGCTGACTCAGACTCTGGGAGTAGATCCCAAGGACTGGTGCTTATTAAAAACTCCCCAAGCCATTCTCATCTGCTCCTGGTGGAGAACCACTGTCCTGTAGCTCGCACTGTTTCCCTCTTAGATTTTTCTTTCTTCCTCTGCCTCGTGCCCACTTTCACTAATGTGTGTTAATGACAGCTTGCCCATGCCTACCCTCCCTCTGCTCTCAGGCAGTTTGTGTAGAAGCTGCAGAGGGATCGGTCATTTGGAATTAATCGCTGCATTGTCTTATTTTGTTGTCCGGTTAGTGCAAGGCCCTTCGCAGCCTAATCTCTGGCAGTTTCACCACAAACCGCTACTTCTGGGTTAGTCACCCTGTTTGCTGAAACACTGTAGGGCTCAGTGGTGTGGTTGTTTGCACTTGTCTCACAATTTGTGTGTCTTTGGACAGTTCCTACTTGCATTGTAAATGGGCCACAATGGAAGAGCTGGAAAAGGATCCTCGCATTGCACAGAAGATCAAGCGATTCAGGAATAAACAAGCCCAGATGAAGCACATTTTTACTGAGGTGAAGCAATATTTTCCAACTAATTTGACCACTACTCTTCTTGTAGTATTAAATGCTGAGTTTAAGTTTCTTTAAGTCAAAGTTCTGTGCAGAATTATTGCTCAAGTCATGTCACTAAATGTGCACTGATTGGCAGCAAAACCAATCCAGGTTTAAGCTGAAGGAAAAAAATTATCCACCAAGTTATGAAGATCGAGCCTTATAAACTGACAATTCATAAGAACGTGTATCTTGGTCAGAAAATCTATAAATAGCTAGGGTGAGAGAAATGTGCACACAACTCTTTTCATTCCCTCCTCCCCTCACTTCCCAAAACGGCAAGTTCCAAAGGACTTAAAGTTTGAATGTAAAAAATAAAAACAAAGCTAAAATATGAGAAAGGAAATAAGTAACTTTATATAAGCTTCAGTATTTTTTTTTTAATTTTTTAAATATTTATTTTTGAGAGAGAGAGACAGAATGTGAATGGGAGAGGGGCAGAGAGAGAGGGAGACATAGAATCTGAAGCAGGCTCCAGGCTCTTGAGCTGTCAGCACAGAGCCTGACGTGGGGTTGAATTCACAAACTACAAGATCATGACCTGAACCAAAGTTGGAGGCTTAACCGACTGAGCCACCCAGGTGCCTCTAAGCTTGAGTATTTCTAAGTATGGTACCTACAGCGAGAGGAATGATTCATGGATTTTGACATTAAACAAATCTGTAATGTCTATATATTAGAAAATACTTCATACAAATCTTAAAATAAATAGGACATATGTGCATCATGTGCATACGCATATTTCCTAACTATATACTTATATATGTGGCATATGTTCTTTTTATCCGGTGAAGGAACCTTCCTGCTTATACGTACAGATACACACACACGACAAATAGCTTTAATGATAAGAAATGCTTATCATTAACCATACAAAACTGTGGTCAATTTCACTAGTAGTCAAGGAAATGCTAATTAAAATAGAGATTTTCTGGGTTTTGTTTACCAGATATTTGAAGGTTTTGTTATTTTTTTTAATGTTTATTTATTTGTTTTGTGGGAGAGTATGAGTGGGGGAGGAGCAGAGAGAGGAAGAGAGAGAATCCCAAGTAGGCCCCACACTGTCAGCGCAGAGCCCGATGCAAGGCTTAAACTCACGAAATGTGAGCTCATGACCTGAGCTGAAATCGAGAGTCAGACGCTTAGCCGACTGAGCCACCCAGGTCCCCCATGAAGGTTTTAGAAATAAGTGTTACCCACCGCTGGGGAGGGTGTAGGGAAGAGATACTCTTGTGTACAGTGGATGGGAATATAACCTGGTAAGACCTGTCCCAGCAGTATGGCAACAGACATGAAATATCTCAAACTATTCACATCCTCTGTCCCAGCAATTCCAATACTGTCATGTATTTTAAGGAAGCTAATGAGTCTTTGTGCAGAATCAGCTGTGACATTCAGTCATTTATATTGGTGGAAAATTGTGAACAAACAGAATATGAGATAGCAGACATTTGCTAGATTATGTATATATCCCATAGAGCAGAATATTGTGCAGCTAGGAAGAATGATATTGGAGAACACTGTTAATGACCTAGAAGGCGGCTTTAGCGCTGTCAGCTGTTGTTAGTTGAAAATGTCAGGCCCCCTCAGTGTGTGTGGCAGCTCCAGTATGGGGAGTGCAGGGGAAAAGAGGCACCATAGCAAGGCATGGAAAATGTCGTCAATGTGCATCAAAATGTGCCGTCATTTTCTCCGGTTAATGGGATCACGGTGACTTTTATTTTTTTCTTTTCTGTGTAACATGTACGTTTAAATTTTTGTGCAGATAACTTTGAAAAAAAAAGAAGGGATAAAAGTTACTCTTAAAATGTAGGGGCAAGCACTAGGCCTCGAGTGCACTCAGGTGCCCTGAAACCATAGTACATCGCTGCAGTACTTAATCAGCTCCTTCTGCGTGTTGTATTCCTTCTCCACAAGTGACAAAAAATTATTTTAGGATAATGTCAGTAAGCATTCTTCTTGTCCCAGGGTGCAGTCCTTTGTCCTTAGCTTTAGTGTTTGGCCCCAGCTCTCTCCAGGATTGCTTTAAAGCACGTGAGGGCTGTTTCTCGTGGCATTGTTCTTCTCATAAAGGACTGGGGAAAGAAGACAGTTGGAATTGGAAAACCATCTCAAGGCCCCACTGGATACTGTTCTCCTTCTGTTCTTGGAACATTTTATCTGCACCTCTATTTTAGCAAGTATTTGCTGTATAGTAACTTGTTTACATGTCTCTTTCTTCCATTTTAAGTCCAGTGAGACAGACAGGGACATGTCTTCCTTGTATTTCTATCCCTGGTACTAGCCACAGGGTCAGTGCTCAGGAAGTATTTGGCTGCCCCCTTGGTAAGGGGGTGAGGTTGCCTTATGCTCTTCCCCTGCTCCAGACTCTTTAGCACATTTTCTTGAAATAAAGTCCACAGTCCTTAATATAGCCTACAAAGCCCCGTGTGTCTGTTTTCTGCTTTATTCTCAAGGGAGAGATTTTGCCTGGGCTGGGAATAGAGAGCCAAAGCTATGTTCAAGTGTATAGAAATAACATACCAGGAGCTCATAACTCCCGTAGGGAGGAAAGACTTTTGAGAAGACAAGAGGGCATCTTGAGATTAAGGAGGAGGAAAAGTGGGGAGTAGTTCCTATAATATGATCTTCAGTCTTGACCTGTTCAGCGTTTTTATTAATGACTTGGATAAGTGATATTCTAATAAGATCAACAATAACTTAGTTTTGAATCGAGCTTCTTCATATCTATTATTTCTAGCTGCTTTATGTAAAGGAGGCTCAGGCTCGAGAGGCTAAGACTTCCATGCTCCGCAGGGGTAGAGGCCTTCTGGCTAAGCCCAAATTCCTGAAAACCAGACCCAACACTGGGAGAATAGATGACAAAATCAACGTTCATGTTTACTGGACAGGCTAGGATGAATGAAACAGAATGGCAGTAAATAAATGTAATGTTATACATTTGTATTTTTAAAATCTTTACAACTTCTGGGTGGGGAAAATGACTGACTAGCAGTTCTAGGGAGAAAAGATAATGCCCATTAAATTACAAGTTTCCTGTTGGCCAGGAGTAGGCCGTGCAGCTGCTTAAAAAGCAACGGTAATCTTAGAACATACCAGCAGAACAGTCCTGTTGTGCCTTTTCTTTCATTCTTGAGTGTTCTGTTCCTTTGGGTATCAGGGTCCAGTGGGGGGCTTTGGGGACCTGAGTGCAGCTGCAGGAGGACTGTAACACTGGTAAAGGAAGCACAGCTGAGTGTTGTCAGCAGATGTGGAAACTGGACTGCATGGTCCTAGGAGCCTGGGCTCTTGGAGCCAAACTACCAGGGTACAGGTTACACACATACACACACACACACACACACACACACAGAGCTTGGTGGCCTTGAGCCACACCCACTATCCTTCTCTGTGTAAAGCAGAACCCCTAATAATATCAGCTTCACAGAATACCTGCAAGGACTAAATGACACAGTGTTTACAGAAGTGCTTAACACAGTGCCTGGCCCACGGTCACTGTTCATAAATGTTAGCTCTCTGCATCATTAAGGGAACTAGAAACTTGGGACCCAAACAACAGTTGAGCACCTTGGGTAATTTCACCCAGATAGGGTGGAGATTGTTGAAGAGCCAGCATAGAATGAAAATTAACTTTGTTGCTGCTCCTGTGGATGAAGCAGTGACACCAGCAAGCCCCCATTACAGGAAGGAAACTAGGCTGTAATTTAATAATAATAAAGATAAAGATCATGATGCCACCACCAAGCAGGCAGAGGTGAAGCTGTCTTGGCAATGGGTCAGGTCTTAGAGGGCAGTAAATTCCGAAACAGGGAATAATGGAATCTGAGGGAGGGTTGCCAGGGATGTTATAAAAAGTATTCCTGTGTTGAAGATGAAACTAGATAGCCCCTAAAGTGCCTTCCAGCCAAAGGGGCAATAAGAACATTCTAGCAGTCCAGGAGGAGGGCTTCTGGGTAAGAAAGTCCTGGGTAAGTGTTGCAGTTCACACAGCTCTGTGGCTTTGGTCACATTACTTATTTAACCTCTCTGAGTCAGTTCCCTCATCTGTAAAGTAATTATTGCATCTAGTCCATAAAGTAGTTTTGAAACATAAAACACTTAGCATTACCCTGGGCACATGTTAAATATTTCCAAGTGATGCTTATTGTTGTTTCGTAAGTACACTTTTTTGGGAAGCATAATGTACATGAAGGTAAACAAATCCTGAGGGTGCAGCTCAGTGAATTTCTACCAAATAAACACACCTGGGTAGCCACCACTTAGGTGAGGAAATAGAACATTATCAGTCCCCCAGAAACTTCCCCTCAGGGGCGCCTGGGTGGCTCAGTTGGTTGGGCATCCAGCTTCGACTCAGGTCATGATCTCACGGTTTGTGAGTTCGAACCCACGTTAGGCTCTGTGCTGACAGCTCGGAGCCTGGAGCCTGCTTCAGATTCTGTGTCTCCTTCTCTCTCTGCCCCTCCCCAACTTGTGCTCTGTCTCTCTATGTCTCTCAAAAAATAAATAAATGTAAAAAAAAAAAAAAAAATTTAAAAGCAAGAACCTTCCTCTCATGCCTCCTTCCAGTGTTTATTATTATTATTGGCTTATTAAAAGAAAAAGAAACTAATTCTGAGTTTCCAAGGGTTATCTTTGTAATGAGAAGCAGTAAGAAAAAAGGAATTCTTGTGCTGGTTTTTGCACAGTACTGTAATGACCTTTAGGGAAGTTTACATCTGGCCCTGATGTAACCTGGAAATTCAGTCACAGCAGGGTTTGGGGACAGGGAAGAAATGTTTGCGCTGTGACTTTTATTCACAAGCTACCCCTTCCATTGTGTATTTCCTGATAAGGCCCAGAGTAGGGGGTGACTTAAAGATAAAACACAGAGTGTTGGTTTTGAGGGAAGGGGGACACTTTCTAACTCTTCTCCTTTGTTTGTACTAGCCTGATGAAGACTTGTTCAACCCAGACTATGTAGAAGTTGATCGCGTCCTGGAGGTAGCCCACACCAAAGATGCAGAAACAGGAGAGGTGGGTGTTTGGCCATTTTGACTCACTTATAGTGTCTTCCCTTCTTACTACATGTTTTGCTTGTTTTGTTAACATGTGGTCTTCGTTTTAATGGCATTCATGTGTTACCGGGTGGGTTTTCCAGTGGTTGGCCAGAGCACGATTGGCTCCTCTAATCCAGTAGCTGCTATCCTGTTTCCCACCAGGAGGTGACGCATTACCTGGTGAAGTGGTGCTCACTGCCTTATGAAGAAAGTACGTGGGAACTAGAGGAAGATGTGGATCCTGCAAAAGTTAAAGAATTTGAGTCTCTTCAAGTTCTCCCTGAAATTAAGCATGTGGTAATGTATCCATGTCGCTGTTTGGCACCTCTTACAACATGTGACTTTATGAACTTGGCAGTCCTGGATGTCTTTTGGGCGGTGCTCAGAAGTGGTCTTCATTGGTGCCTTCCCTTTGGCCACTCTCCATTGAACCTGCAGTTCAGACTTTGCTGGCACTCAGATCAACATTAGATCTAGGCTCTGTTTTGATGTGTGTGACACTGAAAAATGAATATGAGCTTAGGTTTCTTGGTATATGGCTGCTGTATGGAGTCAGGAAGATAGAATGTGTAAGAAATGCCTGAAATATTGTTTCCTGTTATCTTTTGCTCCATCAGTGATCTTTTTTCTTTGTTTTTATCCTTTGCCTTTACTCAACTGGAGTATTTTAAGGGGAAGAGCTATCTTTTATCTGTAGATCCATGAGTTTCACAGAGAGAACATAGGTTTTCAACATACATTTATTTAATCAGTTTATCTTTCTGATTCTGAAGAACTCCCACCAAGATGCATAAATGTCCCAGGGTATCTGGCAAGTAGTTATATGTAAAGTATCAATAATTAAAAGGAGGTAGAATTAGGATGGAGCCTGATTAAGATGTAACTCACTTGGGAAGAGAATCAAAGTTATTGAACATGGCTGTAGACTAGAATATGAAGTTTCTGTTTAAAAAAAGAATGACCGGGGCGCCTGGGTGGCGCAGTCGGTTAAGCGTCCGACTTCGGCCAGGTCACGATCTCGCGGTCCATGAGTTCGAGCCCCGCGTCAGGCTCTGGGCTGATGGCTCGGAGCCTGGAGCCTGTTTCCAATTCTGTGTCTCCCTCTCTCTCTGCCCCTTCCCCGTTCATGCTCTGTCTCTCTCTGTCCCAAAAATAAATAAAAAACGTTGAGAAAAAAAAAAAAAAAAGAATGACCATTTTGGGGCACCTGGGTGGCTCAGTCACTTGAGCATCTGACTCTTGATCTCGGATGAGGTTGTCGATCTCACGGTTCAGGGGTTTGAGCTCCCTATGGGGCAGTGTGCTCACAATGCAGAGCCTGCTTGGGATTCTCTCTCTTCCTCACTCTCTGCCCCTCCCCTGCTCATGTTCTCTCTGTCTCTCTGTCTCTCTCTCTCTCTCTCTCTGTCTCTCAAAATAAATAAACCTTCTTTTAAAAATCACCATTTTTACATGAAAAACCCTTATCCACCTCCTTATTAGTATTATTTGTTGTTTTTATGTTGCTGGAAAGTTAGGACTCAGAAGACGAGACCTCAACATTGAACTTAGATCTCTATCAGAGTCCACTCAAAAGCAGTGTTTGTTTTAGTTTTTTAGCATATGAAGTGTATGGAGGAGTCTTGAGGTGTAGAACTGTGATTAGAAATCTACATAGTTTTTAATGGTGTTTTGTTGCATGACTAGTTAATAAATTTCTCTTTCAGCCCTCTCTTATGACTGTTGCCCTTTGTTAATTCAGTCCATCAACGACCTATCTCCTGTTGGTTGACTCTTGAGTGACATAGAGTAAGAAGGAAGCTGCATGCTGAGCCCTCAGGAGTGCACAGGTTAATGGAAAAGGCATGTGTATGGACACACGTGGCCCCAGACTAATTGGGACACGTGGCCCAGCGCAGGGACAAACTAGTGTAGGGGTGGAGAGTAGAGAGCATTCCCATTCTGCAGCTAATTGTAAGCTATTATCTTGAAGTAATCAGCATTCTTACACTCTCAGCTCGAATCCCACTTATTTCCTCTGACTGACTACACAGATTGGTAAGAACATGAATTCTCAAGTGTCTTCAGGCAATTTCACTTCTCCTTTACTTTGCTGTTGCCACGCCACTATTATCTCTCATGAACCATGCTAGTATTTCACGCTTGTCTTTTTGTTTCTAATTTATTTGTTCTCTCGTTTAAAATGCACATTTTAGAAATTTTACTCCAAAAGTTCTAAATTGGAATGGCAGCTAGCAATATAACTAAAGCTGTCTTTTTATGTATTAAGGAAAAGACTGGCTCCAAATGGTAGTTTACCTGAATAATTTTTTTTTAAGTTTTTATTTAAGTAATCTCTACACCCAGCATGGAGCTCGAACTCACAACCCAGAGATCAAGAGTCACATGCTCTTCTGACTGAGCCAGCCAGGCACCCCCAATAGTTTTGTTTTTTGTTTTTTGTTTTTTTTTAATTTACTTATTTTGAGAGAGAGCACTTGAGCACACATGAGTGGGGGAGGGGCAGAGAGAGAGAGGGAGGGAGAGAGCATCTGAAGCAAGTTCTGCACTGTCAGTGCATAACCTGACACGGGGCTCAAACCCACAAACCATGAGGTCATGATCTGAGCCAAAATCATGAGTTGGTTGCCTAACCGACTGAGCCACCTAGAACCCTCCCCGCCCCGAATAAATTTTTAAAGGGATCTTACTCTGGGCTTTGAAGTTGAGACATGACCCTGCCAGTCTTGATGAATATAGGACATTTGCATCTGAAAGCTTTTTGGTAAAAATTGGTTATGGATAGGTAAAATATGGAATTTTTAGAAAGCAAGAAGTGACATTGGTGATGATTGTGCCAAGAAAGAGTCTTTTAATAGGCAGAACCCACTTTGGGGGGGCTCTGAGAATCAATTCTCCTCTTTCAAATTTAACTAAGTAGTCACTGAAGGTGGTGGAGCCCTTGGGTAAGTTCTTTCCTGTAGTCTGTACCACTTAGGAATATACCAGAAACTCCTAGCTGATTTCAGGCCTTAGGCTCAGATAGCTGAAATTTCTGGCCAGTAGGTGATGTTAAACTAAGACCTTTAGCACTGAGAAAGAGGGAAACCCAGAGGAGTGACTGGATGACAGAGTGATGCCTCTACTTTTGGAGTTGTACCAAGGCAGCAAAGTAGAAATCTGCAGTCAAATTCCATCCTCCAGCACTTAACAATACTGAGAGTGAGCCACTAAGTCTCTGGAGGAACATTCCAGAAGGCCTCTCCACAGTATCTAGTGAAGTAGAGGAGCATGCCCGATTAAAGAGGTACATGGACTTTGGGGATCTAGCCTGACTGGTTCCTGTAGGTTGAGAAGAATATATTTTCTTTAACGGAACAGAGTAAGAGGGTTTATATAGGAATATCTTTGCTTAAAAGCTTTTTCTTTAAAATCATTATTTTTTACATAATAAATTATTTTCTCCCTTATTTTAAAAGCACCTATACTTACGCTCTTATAATAATATTCAACAGAGCCTTATTTTAAAGGGCTTACCCTAACTGTAGCTGTAGTAATTTTGTAGGTAAGCTGTAATGTGTATTTTTCTGAAAGATCATGGACAGATTATACTTAACTCCAAATGTCAATGATATAATTGGGGATATTTTGTTAATTTCACATGCAAATGGTTTAGTTTCGGGTAATAACATATTTCAGGTGTAAATTATATTGTAGAACTCCAAAGTAGAATTACCAAAAACTAAAACTGTTTAGAAAAGTTATAGTCTCAAAATTCTCATTTATAACTACAGGTAGAGCTAGGGATTTTTAATTTATAAGACTATAAACTGTAACTTGGGGGCTCAATTTGCCTATAAGCAAAATAGCCAAGTTGCTTTCCAAATAATATAAAGCCTAATTAAATAAGATTTTTGGATGGGAAGCCTCCACACCTGAAGGTTTAAATTTTCCTCTGATTATAATTGGAATTCCAATGGCATTTTAAGAGAACTTGACAAGTTGATTCTAAAGTTATACAGAATAGTAAATAAGATAGAATAGCCAGGACACTTTTGAAAAATAATTCCCTAATCAGATAAAAGGCTATAGTAATTTAAAAATTTGCTTTTATTGAAGCACTAGACAGTCCCGTGGAACAGAATGAAAAATCTGGGTAGAGCTCCATGGATACATTAAAACTTAGCATGTGATAAATATGGCATTTCATATCAGTAGAGAAAAGATCAATTGTATTTAGAAATAGTGTTTTATATGGGAAAATAAGACGGCTATTATGTTTATGAGGAGTTTAAGGAATTTGCAGTTTTGATTTTACAGGCTTTTTGCCTCATACTGACTCTCGGAACTAATCAACAAAATATTTGACCCACTGTACTTTCCTGAGTGATGCCACATGCACAAAGAAATAACAAAAAGAAATTATTTATAGAAACCAAAAACCTAATATTGGCTTGAGGGGAGATGGAGGTATTAAGTGGGAGTGGCATCTAAGAGTTTGGGTCAAACTATGTAACACCAAGATTTTAGGTGGGTGTGTTTGTCTTCTTCATTAATTGCTTGCACATTTTATAGAGGTTTTCTTTTTTTAAAAAATTGTTAAATATTTATTTATTTTTGAGAGAAAGAGAGACACACCCAGAGGGTGAGTAGGGGAGGGGCAGAGAGAGGGAGACACAGAATCAGAAGCAAGCTCCAGGCTCTGAACTGGCAGCACAGAGCCTGACATGGGGCTCGAACCCACCAGCCATGAGATCGTGACCTGAGCCGAAGTCGGACGCTTAACCGATTGAGCCACCTAGGTGCCCTGAGGTTTTCTTAGTTTAATCTGGTGAAATCAAGAAAATACAGGGTCTCGCCTGCACATTAGTCAGAAAATAGTAGCTGCAGTTTCATGCCAGCTTTAGGGCAGTGTTTTGAGATTTGCCACCTTCCCCATTATTATCCTATGTCCCTATTCATGTTATGTTCCTCAGACGTTATTCTCAACGTATTTTGTGTTCTCTGCCTTCCTCCACTAGGAGCGGCCTGCTTCGGACTCCTGGCAGAAACTGGAGAAGTCTCGAGAGTATAAGAACAGTAACCAGCTCCGGGAGTACCAGCTGGAGGGGATGAACTGGCTTCTTTTTAACTGGTATAACAGGTGAGGAACCAGAACCAGGGCTGTCCTCATGGATGATTTTCCTCCCAAGTGTGTACCTGGAGCTAGACTGTCACCTTAGCCTGCTCAGAGCAGCAGTAGCAAGGTGGTGAGAGTGTGCAACCTAGCCATCGGTTTAGGGTGCTAATCTTTGCACAGGATGTGTGCCAAGACTATACATCAGGTGCTTCTCCAACCAGAAAGAATGGTCTGTAGACATCATTGACTTTGTGCTGCTTTTTACTTGTCCATTCTAGCCACAAGGTTAGACTCAACCTAGATGAAACAAAATCCAAAAGGTTGTTATCTTTAAGTCTTTAGCAAAAATTGGCTCTAAAAGGCAGTAGATCTGGATTTTAGTCCCAACTCTGCTACTTACTCATGAGCCCTGGATGTTCTAAACTTGGGCTGTAATTCTCAATTTTGGACTCTTTGTGCTTTAGGTCTTGTCAGAATCTAGGCGAAACAGATGAAATTTGAGATTTTTGTAACATTCTAGAGTATACACCTAGTATGGATTCTAAAGACAGAATGCTGCAGTGGAGAATACACAAGATGGGACCCTGGTGACCTGTGTTCTAGCACAGTCTGCACCACTTACTCACAGAGCCTCTCGGAGTGCGGCTCACGTGGCCTTTCCAGGTATTGGGTTCCCCATCTGTACAGTGAGGGGCGAGACTGACAGGGGCACACCCTTCGAATGTCACAGCTCTGTGCAGTCTGTGATTCTGGGTCACCAGAAGAGACCAACATTCTTACTCTGACAAGGAATTTATTGTGTGGGTTAAAAGTTAACCCTTGATGACAAAAATAGTAGACCATGAAATTCACGTAACTTAATCTTTTTATTTTTGCCTTGGCTTCCATGACGTTTGTCAGGTACAGAAATTGGCTTAGGTTTGAGGCATATTTCTCTCCTTGTGGCTCACTATTATTTTAATTTTTGGTATTTTCAGTTTATATGGACCTCTTTCCTGTATTTTCTCCCAAGTTGCCATAATTCCTTTTTGGAAATAGTCAGGGTGTGAATCATAAGAATAAAAACTTGCTTCAGTTGCATCTCTGGAGAATGCTGATAAGGCCCTTCACTGATGACCTTATAGGTCAGGGTGTGCTTCTCAAGTATCATTTTAGTTCTGCCCAACCTCTGCCGCTTTCCTATATCGATGATGAATTATCTGTATTTCTTACTCTACAGAAAAAATTGTATTTTGGCTGATGAGATGGGGCTGGGGAAAACCATCCAGTCCATCACATTCCTCTCAGAGATATTCCTCCGAGGAATCCACGGCCCTTTTCTCATCATCGCCCCACTCTCCACCATCACGAACTGGGAGCGAGAGTTCCGGACATGGACAGAGATGAATGCCATTGTGTACCATGGCAGCCAGATCAGCAGACAGATGATCCAGCAGTATGAGATGGTGTACAGAGACGCACAGGTGAGCCTTACATGGGTCTTAGAGACCCGGCGACAGCCTGATGTCGTTCAGAACAGCCTTCCCGTCACTTGTCTTCAGGAGTTTTAATGCTCTGCACCTTAGGTTGCTGTTGACTGACTTTGTACAGTCTTATGTTTATTGAGGTCGACTTTTGTTTCTCCTTGGTAGTTTACTTTGATAAAACACAGAATTTGTAAGGCATGCTTGACACTCTCTGGCATATGCCAGAGGCTCTTCTTGGGATACTGAAAGCTTGGCTTCTTGGTTGGCTTACGAAGTTTCTTTTATGTGCAGAAGATTTTATCTGAATTGTTACATGCTCAGTGAAAAAAGTGGGGGGAAGAATTAGTGTACAGAGGGTGGGTTCCTAGCCAGGGAGTTTGGAGAGGTGGTTAACACATTTGACAGGGAAGGATAAAGAGAAGATAGGATTCACATTGTTAAAAGCACAATAGATTGTGGTGTTTGTTTGGTTTTTGTTATTTATAATCACTTTACTGAGTATGCTTGTAAGCCTGTCTGGCCACTGGTTTTTCTAATCAAGCAAGGTGAAAATATAAATGAATCCCAGCCAGAGGGAAGCCAGTGCTCTCCCCCAGGGACTTCATAAAGCAGCAAAAGGAGACACTTGGAAGAAATTTATGATGTGTTCTAACACAGTGCAGCTCTGCTCTTTCAGTGTGATAGCAACACTAAGATAGAGAAAAGACGTGTGTCCTGTCTGGTAGCTCTTGTCCCAGGTGAATCAGGAACATTAGTTTGAACTTGTGCTAGAACCCCAGTTACAAGGTGAAATGAACCATATCTGAAAAGGAGCGAAAAAGGTCTCCTTTGGGTCTTCAGGCTCTGTGTGGTTGAGACCAGCTCATGGCTGGGAATGTGCAAATCAATACCCGTCTGCTTTCCTTGTCATGGCAGTTAATAAACAAAAAGCTTCCTTGCTGTATCTTCCATATTTGCGCATATGTCTCAGCATCGTGAGGGCCCATGTCTCTTACTTCTGTGTCATCGGTGTGATGAGGTCTCTCTTTTGTCTAAAGGGCTGGTTCATCCTCGTATTCTCTCTTTCCTCACACGAGGAAGTGCAGTGCTTACTGGCTTCTGTCACCTAGGCCCGGGCATTTTACCGCACTGCCTCCTCTGCTCCCGCCGGGAACGCATTAGCGGAATTCTGTAGTCATGGCATAAAGCTTCGCCTTCCGTTGTGTCACCCTCAGGGAAACCCCCTTTCAGGAGTCTTCAAGTTCCACGTTGTCATCACAACGTTTGAGATGATCCTGGCAGACTGCCCAGAGCTGAAAAAGATTCACTGGAGCTGTGTGATAATTGACGAAGCCCACAGACTGAAGAACAGGAACTGCAAACTTCTGGAGGGTCTAAAGCTCATGGCCCTGGTGAGAGCTAGCAAGCTCTTTACATCCACACAGGTTCCGTGTATTCACTGTGGAGGAGGCATTCTGTAGCCATTCTGCATGTAGCTTACTTGTGCATAGTCTGCTTACTCTAAATTCTCTTTTTGCCCTCTATATGTGTGATAGTGTAGGAATCAAAAGGTTTTTTGTTATGAACTAGGTCAACTATTTGACCTTTGCCACAAATAGATTCCCAAAGGGAGCCGGGGGAATCTGAAATACCATGAAATTGGTGACCTGGAAATGTAAGGTGTTTTGGCTTATTTCCAGGTACCAAAGATGATGGTCTTGGCACAGTGCCCAGTATGTAGAGGGTAGGCACTCAATAAGAATGAATGAACAAATGAATGAGTGTTGCTTTCACTAACATGACATTGCTGCTGGAATCAGTGATGGGAAAGGAAGGTTGATCTATTTATTGACCATACCCTCATGAAACGGCGGCGTCCTCTCTTTGCGTAAAAGCCAAACAGAATTGCCCCAAAGTGAGCACAGAATTCCCTGGCTTCATTTTCCCACCAAAGCATATCATGTTGGTGGCTCACACACTGCTCATGGTGGACTGTTAATTTGTGCAGGAACACAAAGTACTGCTCACTGGGACACCGTTACAGAACTCTGTGGAGGAGCTCTTCAGTTTGCTGAATTTTCTGGAGCCATCACAGTTTCCTTCAGAGACTGCTTTCTTGGAGGAATTTGGAGATCTGAAAACTGAGGAACAGGTAAATAGGGGCCTCAAGGACTGAGAAGATGGTGTGGTGATTACCTTCACCGTCAGGGAAAGGACAAGTCATTGTCACCATGGGGACAGGCACTCACAAGTTCTCACATCCCTCCTAAAATGAGCATTACCTCCTTGATTTAATTTGTTTGTTCACATTGAGGTTAAACTGATTATTAGGAGTTCTTATTACTCCAGAGGATAAATGAGTCCACATCCAAAATATCCTGTATTAGCACATCAGGCCTCTTGCCTTTGCTGATCTCATGTGTAAGTTCTTTGATTCTGTTCAGCCCTGGACTCAGGAGCGTGGTGCTTTCTTCTGCTTTCCTCATCCTTCCTGCTTCCTCCTATATAATCTGCAGCATGTTCCCAGGCTTATGTTCTCGAGTACAACAAAATACACAGGTAGTGAGGAAAAGAAGGCAGTCATATACTAGAGTAGTTGCTAAGTTCAGTTTTGTCCAAATCAACCAGATTTCCTCAGTTTTCAAAGATCTGGTCCTGAGACCAGCTTATTGGACTCAAAGCTAAGTCAAAGCTACCAAAGTTAAGAAATACCTATCTATGATGCGTAAAAATCTTGACTGAGGTTCCAGAAATAAGCCAGACAAATTGAAATGCCATAAGAGGAGCAAGTAATAGAATTGGGGATTTTCTAAGAGAGAAGGTCACCTCTGTTTGGGAATAAAGAAAGCCTTCATGGAGAGAGTACAATTTGGAAATGGACTTTGAAAGGTGGGTATATTTTTAGTCATGGAGAGAGAAAAGATGGTGACTACTTTGCACAGAAAAAAAAAAAAAACCCACCCAGCATAATCAACCATGGAATTTATTCCATCGTAGGGAATCATCTGGTTGAGCTGGAAACAGGGTTGATGAATTGTGGAGTATGAAGCCAGAGGGGTTGAGGGTTATATTGTGGGACGATCTTAAAAGACAGCTTGAAGAATTTGGTAGGTATTAGAGAAGCAATGCAAGGCTTTGATTGCAGGGATGACATAATTAGTTCTGCTAAATTAACCTCGCAGTGGTGTGAGAATGCGTTGGGACAGAGAATTTGGGGACTGACAAGGTTTGGAAATTTCACTAACAGGTGTCAGGAGCACACTCTCAGGTTGCGGTCTGTTTGTTTCTGCTTCTGTGGCAAGTCAGACTTTGAGAGCAGTGAATAATCAAACTTAATTCCACTTCTCTGCATTTGCAGTATCTATTGATCTTTCAAAAGCCAGCTCCCAACCCTCTCTCCATTTTTGGACCATTGGCAATGTGTCCTCTTCTCCCGTTGCACTTATTTTGTGGTATGCATTTTTTTCTTCTTCCTAGACAATGACCTTCTTGAGGACAAGGCCCACCTCTTCTCCAAAGTTGTGTTTGTTGTATTGACCAGCACAGTGTCTGGCATGTAGTATACTCTAAATGATTCAAGGTATGAACCAAGTCAAGGGCAAAGCTGAACCCAGCATGTGGCAGATTGACATTTGTCCATATCTTTAATAATTGTCTAGGTGTGTCTTTCCTGTTTGGGTTCTTATACAGTAATTCCTAATTCATTTGGGGGATAGATTCCTAAGTACCATGGTTGGTAAAATCAAGATCTCAAGAATGGGTTATATTGAAGATTGGGGTTATTTAGGAGAAAACCACAAAAAGTGGCCACAGATGTCTAAATTTTAAATCACAGTAAATAAAAGATCCACAAAGCATCTGTTTCCAAAGTGAAACATATTCATCAGTGTTTAAAATCTATACCGGTAACTTGTCTAAATCACTGTCTATAAATTACTTTATACTTCTTTCAGGAAGCGTTGACACTGCACCCGATTTATTTATGCAGTAAATAAGTACCCCCTTTTAAGGCATTTTTGAACAGCCCTTTATGACTTGCAACAATCTTTTGCACTTGCCCTTTCTTATTTTATTTTCCCAGCAGGATTAATCTTATTGGTGTCACGTTTTAGCTCAGGGTGAAGTCAGATGCCTTGATTCTGCATCCCTTGTCTGTCATTGTCTTCTTGGGAGACGGAACAAGTGGCCTTGCCAGTGCAGTCAGGTTAGCGGACATCTGCTGTCCAGATTTGGGCTGCTAGGGAAACAGACAAATCATAGCAAAGACCACTGTCAGCTCAAAGTACCCCTGATGTGACAGCTTGTGTGATGGCATGGGAGACATCATCTTACAACATTAACTGTAAATGCTGCTACACCAAACGTGTTCGCTGCCATTACTTAGAAGTTGTAGGAGGAGTCTGCTTCCAGATGGCCTCTACTTCTTTTTTTTATTTTTTAACCTGAGATATGATGGACATATAACTTCAGTTTCAGGTGTGCATGACCATGAGTCAATACATGTATACATTACGAAATGTTCACCATAATAAACCTAGTTAGCCTCTGTCACCATACATAGCTACAGTTTTTTTCTCTGGTGATGAGAATTTTTAAGATCTCCTCTCTTAGCAACTTCCAAATGTACAATATTAGTAACTGTAGTCACCATGATCTAAATCACATTCCCCAGGACTTAACTTATTTTATGACTGAAAGTTTTAACCCCCTACACACATTTTGCCCATGCCCAGATTGCCTCTACTTTTTACTTTGTTCTCTTAGCATCTAAGTCTCCCTTTTGTAATGTGTCGCCTGTACCTCCTAACATAGCTAAAGTTGTCCTCAGGTAATTGCCGCACATGAATGCATGGTAGAGCGAGAGGGGTTTGGTTTCTCCATCCAGAGAATAGGTACTGTCTTTCATGTCTTTCTCCCTTTATCTCTTGCGAGGTTGTCACCTAGGTTCTCTGTAATTACTTGGGAATTACAATCAGATCCCTTTTTTCCTTTAGATCCTATTATAAACTCCCCATGTTCAGGGTATCAGTGTGATCTTTCAAATAGTCTACCACCGCAGTGCTATGAATAGATGCGCAGGAGAGTGTAGTGAAGGTTGGAATAGCCCGGTAATCAGTCATTAAAATCAGAGTGGGGCAGGTGAACAGGTCTCATTTCCCTGGACAGGTGAAGAAACTGCAGTCTATCCTAAAACCAATGATGCTTCGGCGGCTGAAAGATGATGTGGAAAAGAACCTTGCTCCTAAACAGGAGACGATCATTGAAGTAGAGCTCACCAATATCCAGAAAAAGTACTACCGTGCCATCCTGGAGAAGAACTTTTCCTTCCTGACCAAGGGGGCAAATCAACACAATATGCCCAATCTCATCAACACCATGATGGAGCTGAGAAAGTGCTGTAACCATCCCTACCTGATCAATGGTGAGTCAGGGAAACAGGGAGCAACTCGGGCCTGGTGTGGTGTGCCAAAAGCTGATAATAACCAACAGTTTTAGGTATTGAGTTCCATTAGATGCTAGGATGTATGTTTGCTCACCTTTTTATGAAGCATGAAACTGAGGCTCAAAGAGATTGGTAGATCTGGGTAAGCCATCTAGCAGTGAGTGCACGGAGCTAAGTTCTGAACCTGCCTCTACCAACTCTCTGCCCTCAGAAGATGGATAGCACTCAGCAGCCTGCTGCCCTTTATTTACCTGCAGTCTGGCCCACACTGTGCACTTTGGGACAGGAAACTATCACTTAGCTGAATAAATGATCGCCATGCAATGAGACTAAAACTCTCCGCAGATGAATTAACAGTTAACTATATTAAGTAGAGAACATGTTGGAAGCTTTTTTTTACATAAAACTTTCTGATAAAATTTTAAATAAAAGGTGGCTTGGATTTGCCTGTAGCTAGTTTTTGTGATGTCGAGAGGTATGTCTTTTTGTCAGCTCTCTGTGGAGATTCTTTGCTTGCATGGGTCAGCTTGGTATCTCAAGTTCTTTCTCTACTTGGTGAGATCTCCCAGGAAAGCAAAGCACCTGTGTTCTCTGCAAAATGGCCCTGCTGCCACTGCAGCCCCTCTGCTGCGGGCACAGACCAGGTATGCACCACAGCACTGCCTCACCAACCGGCCTGCTGGTCCAGGACCTAGGAATTCACTTCATTTTTCTAGGACCCGTAAAGCAGAGAGAAGCTTTTATCCTCATAGTTTGTTCAAGGAATAGTTTTGTCCCATTCCTTTTCAGGGGCAGAGGAGAAAATTCTGGAAGATTTCCGAAAAACCCACAGCCCCGATGCCCCTGACTTTCAGCTGCAGGCCATGATTCAAGCAGCAGGGAAGTTGGTGCTGATTGATAAACTGCTCCCTAAGCTGATTGCAGGTGGTCACAAAGTCCTCATCTTCTCCCAGATGGTGCGCTGCCTCGATATCCTCGAAGATTATCTCATCCAGAGAAGGTGAGAACCTGTGTCAGAGCTGTTCATCAGAAGCTGCAGGCGGTTCCCTGTTTTGATACCTTTTTGATTCATGCAGAAATTATGCTGTAACAACAACAAAGCATTCAAACACGGAGAAAAGGAATCTCCTAAAGACTGACTGAAATTCAGAGTTAAATCCCGTGACCAAGTATGCCCAGTTTTAACTGCCTAAAGTGAATGCTGTAGCCGATGATGTGGAGCCCTTGCTTTGCTTAAAAAAGAAATTCTACATGTTTATTTATATTCTCTCTAGTTGTAAGACACGGAATTCAAAAGCATTAGAGAAGGTTAAGAAAACAATGTATTTCCTTTTTTATTTTTTGCTTAATAATGATGAGAGAAATATATCCTGGAAAACATCCCTGTATCAAGTTGCTAAGAGTATAAGCTGACAGCCCACAAAAAAAGAACTTGGGGACACTTTCTGTCCTTTCTCAGCAAACCTTCTAAGGTTTTTTGATACACTAGCTATAGCATTCCAGTCTGTTGTCTTGTTCATACTCCTGTTAATTCCTTGAGTCCAAGTTCCATTACTCACGCAGGTGAACAGTATGTGGGGTTATGTTATATGGGTTGTTTGGATTCATGTGGGTTCTACTTTGTTCCTTTATCCAGTGAACATTATGTTTCCAGTCACTGGGACACAGCAATGATCCGAAGATGATAAGTTGATTTTTAAGAATTTATGCAATGAGAAAAGACTTAAGGTCATAGAAACTATTAGTTTTCGCATTGCTGAGTTTAAAGGAAATCTTTGTTTTCATATAGTAATTATAGCAAATCTCAGTTGTCTTAAATATCCTTAAAAATTCTGTTTGCTATTATAACATTTATAGAAAGAGTATTAAAACAAATGACAGATTCAACTATGGGATACGCTGACATTTAATGTTACATGAATAATTCTCAAATCAAATTAGACAATAAAAAGAATTTCTCAGAGCCCTGTAGTGGAGGTCTTTAGGTAGAGAATTCTTGAGACTTACATTATTTTTTTCTTTGAGGAATTTATAATGAGTAAATCGAAACTAGTGAAAGTAGTTTCATATTTTGTAAATTCACTATAGATTAGGAACCCATTTCCAGAACACTTGCTTTTTATAAATATATATATTATCTTACTTTTCAAAATATATGCAACTACTAGTGAGCAGTTTTTTTTTAGAGAACCCCTCCAAAATGAGTAACAGTGTAACTAATAGACTTTTGCTAAGTACAGATGTCTCTACTTAGCACCCTTTTATGCTATTTTTCCTTAGCATTTATTTCTCATTTTATTTTCAAGTTATTTAGGTATTACAATTTCTTTTGAATATATGGACATACACCGCTACTGGCTCAAAGCTCCCACTCATACTCAGGGAGTTATCTTCTACTTTGCACATGCAAACATTTAGTTTCGTTGTCAATTTTATATATTCTCCTTTTTATTTAATATATCATGGATTTTTCTTTAAACTCATTTTCCCACAACATAATTTTGATAATATTCTTTCTCTTAGGTTGTTCCCAGTTTTTCAGCATTTTTAGGAACTCTGTAGCTATCCCTTTACAGTCATTGTGAATGTTTCCAGTTAATACCTTAGGCTAAATTCTGATTTTGAAAAGCATTTGGTACATATTTCCAAAACACCCTCTAGAAAGATATTTTTATTTTTATGCCTTTCAGCAGTGTATGAGAATGCTTTTTCCCCCCTCACTGTTTTTGCTGCTTAATCTTAACTAATTCAATAAGCCAAAATTATCTTGTTTTAATTTGTATTTCTGATTAATAATGAGAGTAAATATTTTCCCATATATATATTAGCTATTTGTATTTTTGTGTGCTTGAATTGCTCATTCATGTTCTTTCTCCATTTTCTGTTGCTCTTTGCCTTTTTATTTATAAGAACTATTTGTTTACTTAAGAATATAGCACAGGGACACCAAGGTGGCTCAGTCGGTTAAGCTTCCGACTTCGGCTCAGGTCATCATCTCACAGCTTGTGAGCTTGAGCCCTGCGTGGGGCTCTGTGCTGACAGCTCAGAGCCTGGAGCCTGCTTCTGATTCTGTGTCTCCCCCTCTGTCTGCCCCTCCCCTACTCATGCTCACGTGCTCTCTCTCTCAAAAAATAAGTAAACATTAAAAAAAAAAAAAAAAGAATAGAGCACAAATACTTCCCCAGTGTTGTTTTTGACTTTTTGTTTATAGGTGTGAGTTTTTGTTTATTTTATTTTTAGAAGTTTTAAATTTTGAAATAGTCAAAACTTGCAGTCTTAAAGCAGCTTTATATAAACTTAAATGCTTATTTATGCTTAAAGGTAAGGTTAAATACTTAAATTCATGGGTTTGAAAACCATGCAATTATATAAATATTCTCAAGTATTTTCTTTACACTTTTTTTTTGTGGTTTCTTCACCCCAACAGCATCCAGCAGGGTTCTTCTGGCCTTAATATCATGGTTACTTTTTTCTCTTTTTTTTTTTTATTAAAAAAAATTTTTTTTTAATGTTTATTTATTATTGAAAGAGAGAGACAGAGCACGAACATGGGAGGGGCAGAGAGAGAGGAACACACAGAATCTGAAGCAGGCTCCAGGCTCCGGCTGCCTGCACAGAGCTCGACGTGGGGCTCGAACTCGCAAACTGCAAGATCATGACCTGAGCCGAAGTTGGATGCTTAACCAACTGAGCCACCCAGGCGCCCCACTTTTCTCTTTTTAATTTAGCTTTTATTTCCAGCAAAGTTATACATGCACATAATTTAGGGAACCAAAATGTTCTGTTAGACTTTTTAAAAAGTGCCTTTCCTGATAGCACCCTTCCCTCCCAGCCCGTTTTTCCAGCCCCAGAAACAATGACTTTAAGTTCTTTATGCTGTTTCTTTTGGGATTTATAGCCATACCTAAGTAATGTTAGTAGTTGTAATATCTTGATGATGTTTAGTTTTAGGTGTTACCTGTTCCCACTATGGAAGATGAGCATTTATCTCTTCTCATTGCCCCTCATAACCACCACACGACTTACACAAATGCTGAGCGATAGCTCTGACCTATAGTATGCTGTTTACATTTTTTTCTCTCACAATTTTTATTTTTCATGAAGCTAAAAATTGTCCTTTCATTTTATTGCCTGTTTTTCTATTTCCTTATTATAATTTCAGCTCCAGAATTGACCCTGGTTGTCTAAATCTCCTCTTGTTACATTCAAGCCTGTCAGCTTCCTGGGCTCAGAGCCGCCTCTGGTGGGGCTGCTCGTCCTGCCTTCTCTGGCCAAGTGCTCTTCCCACCTGGTACATGTTGCCACCTGGGCTCTCCCTTCCTTCATCACACTGACAAGTTCCTTTCCTTCCCTCTGGAATAAAACCTCCTTGGTGAATCCCATCTATGGCTTTGGGGAGCTTCTGAGGAAGGGTGAATGATAAATGCATGTGGAGACTGTCTGGAATGTTCGCAGTCTGCTCTCCTTGAGTAACAGTTTGGGTTTAGGATTGGAGGTTAGAAATCCTTTCCCCTCAGAATTTTAAGGTTTTAGTCCACTGTCTTCTAGCTTCCACGGTTGCTGCTTAGAAGTTCAGAGCCCTTGTGCTTCCTGGTCTGTGTATGTGACATGTTTTTCTATTCGGAAGCATTGATTTATCCTCTTTGTCCCAGATCTGTGGAATTGCACAGCGAACTGTCCTTTGTATGGGATCTGTTGACCTGGATACCGAACAGGTCTTTCTCATTTGAAACCTGTGTTCCTTCAGTTCTGGAAAATTTATATTTTATCTTCCACTTTAAAATTTTTTGTTTTGTTTTTTTGTATTTTGTTCATTTTGTGGTTGTTATTTGCTGGAGGGCTGGTGTGTTAGGAACTCCTGCCTCCATACCAGAAGCAGAGCCTCTGTGTTTCAGATCAGAGGCTTTCCTTTCATGTCTGGTCTTAGCTGGCAGATGGTGGGCTGGTTAGAAGCTCTGGGTATGTGGGCCAGGCTGTTGACTGTGGGTTTTACTCTCCATATATGAACACTATCCATCTAACTGGATCATCTCATTGGGGAACCTCCAGTGTCTGTATTTTGGGGGTGTCTTCTGCCTAGAGGATGGGAGCTTGATTGTAATGGGAGCCAGTTGTGAGGAACGGGTGGCGAGAAATAGGGAGTTCTCAGTCTCTCGCTCTTCCCTTTTTTCAGTATAGTACCTCTAATGGTGCTTGGTGTCTCCTGGGGGAGAGAGGGCTAAAGGTCTTCTATTTTACCCTCTTCAAGGCTGGGGTGGGTGATCTGTAGGCTGATACTTTCACAAACACTCAGCCAGTTCCTCTGTTTTAGACTCTTTGCATCCCCATTTTCAGGGTTACCTGGTGCCACCAATGCATGATCCCTTTGGACATTCAGTATTGAATTATTTCTCATCTGAGAATCTTTCTCTAGATTTCTTTGTTTTTTTCTTTTTCTTTTCTTTTTTTTTTTTTTCTTACATTTCAGTCTTCAGTCTTTCTGTAATTTTGGTAAATGGCATATAATGAATGTCTAATTTATTCCCAAATGTGTCTCATTTTTAATTCAATAATTCCTCCATTCATATAAAACACTGTCCATAAAATATACTGAAATACTATTTATGCTGGGTGTGTGTCTAACCTGTGTATTCTTTTGATCAGTATTTCTATTCCTTTGCTCATGTATTATTGCAGATAAACTTCAGAATTATTCTTTTTTAATCTACCTCTGACTACAGAAAAAGTATATATGTATGTGGGTACACACATGTGCATATTTGTGTTTATGTATACATATATCCATTGGTTGGGATTTTGATTGGCTTTTATACATTTAGTAGGACAGGATTGACATCTTTGCAAAACTGAAGAATCTGCTGTTCACTGCACGTATTCAGGTATTCCATATACACTGTTGGTTCACTAAATATTTATGACATGCCTGCCTTGTGCTAGAACCTCTGGAGGTGTTAGGGACATGGTGAACAAACCAACATGGCGCCTAGAGTCATGTTGCCAAGTCCTACATATTTCTTTCTCTGAGCCTAATCCTAAGTATTCTGTATGTGTATGGCTATTGTGAGTGGGATTCTGTTTTTTTTAATTCTTTTTGTTTTCCAGCTGGTTATTACTGAGAGATGAGAAAGTTTTTCATTTTCCTTCAGGCCTTCTGAGGTCAGCATTTCCTGTTATGCCAAAAAACATGTCACTACCCCTCCCCCCCTTCCCAAAACAAAGCACACAGGTTTTCTAGACTGCCACCTGCTTCTTGTTGAAATTTGACAGTGACTGAGAATTACAGTTTGATGAGCCACATAAACTCCTAGGGATTTTGTTCAAAATATAGTTGACTCAGAGGGTTAATTGCTGCACTGATGTTTTGTGTGAAAATTTTTTTGATGTCTGATTTCTTCATTCAGACTTACTAGCCTTCAAGATGTTCTTTGTTCTTGAGCCTTGTTGCCTCTCCAGCTGTCAGTTTGGTTTTGGCCCGCTTAATTTCATGCCATATTCTCATACAGGGGTGAGGGCATAGCCAAGGGATCTGGCTCAGGAGTGAGAGGAGTGAGGAACAGTTTAAAAGAGCTCAAATAATGGGATGGATTTTTAGTTTTGTGTTCTTTGAAAGCACTTCCTCGAAACTGAACAAGTAATGGAAATGAGAATTAATGTTCCAGTCATCCTGCACAATTTCTAAAACTGTTCTTGTATCATAGCTGGCAAAACAGTATAGTTTTATGGGAATTTTTTTTCCCTGGCTGACGGTTGAGCTGTAGCATCACTGTAGCATCACGATTGATTTTTCCTCCTCTTTAACGCTGTGCTAATTCCCTGCCTCCCTCGATCTATGGGCTTCTAACTTCTCTCTGATGGCTAGAGGTGTCTTGTCAAAGAACACGAATCCTCTGTGCCTGCAGCATTAATTGTTCACATGTATGATGGTGGGGGTGGTGGCATCTCTCATTTAATTGAATCTCAACCTTGTCCTCTGGCTCCAAATCCTGTACTTCCATCATATCACCCACATGCCCAAATTTCTGAGTACTCAGTGCAGGTTATCAGTGTACTGGTTTATCAAAACCATGTTGGTACCTATAGTGTCTTCTTCCACCTTCCACTAGAGTTATCACCTTCCTAAATTTACTGGTGTCTCTTATTTATCTTTAATTTTCTCTTTTAAGTTTAAAAAAAAAAATTTAAGTTTATTTTTGAGAGAGAGAGACCATGTGAGTGGGGGAGGGGCAGAGAGAGAAAGGGAGAGAGAGAATTCCAAGCAGGCTCTGCACCATCAGCACAGAGCCCAATGTGGGGCTCGAATCCACGAAACCAAGAGACCATGCCTGAGCCGAAACCAAGAGTCAGATGCTTAACCGATTGAGATACCCAGGTGCCCCTTTAAAATTTTTCTTTAAATTCTTTTATTTATTTTTGTCTCTTTTAAGTTTTTAGGGCAGTCTTTCCATTCTCCTGCATTGAAATGTAGGGTACAATATGAAGGCCATACAGCAAACTGGTTAAGAATATGGACTTTGAGGGGCGCCTGGGTGGCTCAGTTGGTTAAGCATCCAACTTTGGCTCTGGTCATGATCTCATGTTTCATGAGTTCGAGCCCCATGTTGGGCTTTGTGCTAACAGCTCGGAGCCTGGAGCCTGGAGCCTGGAGCCTGTTTCGGATTCTGTGTCTCCTTCACTGTCTGCCCCTCCTCTGCTCACACTCTTTCTCTGTCTCTCTCTCTCTCTCTCAAAAAATAAATAATAAACATTAAAAAAAATTTTTTTTAAAGAATGTGGACTTTGAGTCAAATGGATCTCAGTTCAAGCCACTCACCTGCTCAGTGACTGAGCAAATTAGTTTGCTTGTATGGGGTTTTATTGTTTTTGTTTTGGAAGTTTCCTAGAGTCTAAAATAGGGATGATAAGAAAAACATCCCTTAGGATTATCGTGAGGTGTTATAAAGTGATGGTGCAGATCAAGTGTGTATCACAGTGCCTGGCTGGCTGGCATGTAGCTTGATGCTTAAGAGCTTGCTACTAATACTACTGCTGTGGCTGCTATTAATGAGAATGACCATTATATCTAGCTGCCTTGTGGTTTTATAGAATTTAGGCATACAGCCTTCACTTTTATCTTGACACAGCTCTTCCTAGTCTGCCCTTATAGAAGTCATCACCTCCTGTTTTATTTGCTTCTGTAGTCCCACATATTATTCTTACGTTTATTACATTAAAAAGGAAGAAAAAGGAAAAAATCCACACCTATAATTCCAGGTGTTGGTGCACTATAGCTTTGTAAAAGGAAGACCCCCTTTTCACTTGGTTCTTTGCTTTATATGTGTCCTTATGAGTCTGAGTTGGTCTGGTTTCTCTACATATTATTTCCTTGGGTGGTTTCTTTACATGGATTTTCCTTTTCTTCAAGGAAGTCAGGATTATGTAGCCAAACTCCACTTTCTAGAACCACACAGAGACCCTAAAGTGTCTATCTATCCTTATTCCCTTACCACTTATTTATCTGAGGTTTTAGGGATCCGATTTCCCAAGTTCTGGGCTACTGATAAGGTTTCTGTCAGGATTCGTGTTCTTGGCTGTTGTTGAGTCCAGGGTGACTTGGTCCTTTCCTTACGAGGTTCCTTTTAGTTATACTTTATAAACCATTTCCTGCTCAGGGTAAATAAGAAAAGAATTAGGTGCTCAGCAGCTGTCCACCTTGCTACCGTATTTTAACTCTGTATTAATCACATGATTCCATCATAAAGATCCCTTCTGTGTATGCTTATTGGATGGACAGGTAGTAATGCACTCCCATAGCAGTTTTATTTTTATTCTCTTTCCTTTTACCCTCTCCTCCACCGTGCTTTTCGCCCTTGTTTCCACACAGGTATGTGCCTTCTTAATGATTGTTAGCTTTGCTTCCTCGTTTTATTTTCCTCAAAAAAGTCCTCAGTTTTTGTGCCCCAACCCCCAACACAGCTCAGAAACCTTCCCTGTGGTTTATCTGCGTGGCAGTGTACTGCCTGGGAGAACTGACAGGCTGGAAATGACCAGCCCAGACGCACAAGGACTGTCTGTCAGTACAGTCTGCTTCCCATTTTCACTTTACCCTGTAGCAGCTACACACTGATTTGAACTTTGATTCCTTAAGAGCACTACTTAAAGTAGGTGTTTGAGGCTTTTGTTTGCTTTTCCTGGTTCTAGGATTAGATTCAGTGCAAGTAAAAACTGGGAAATACCAGAGAATAAGTTGCTCAGGCTGTGGGGACTGATATTTTATGTTCACAATTCTTCTAGTCCCTTAGTTTGTGGCTGACACTTTTGGTTTGGTTTGGTTTTTGTTGGCTTGTTTTGGTGGGGGGTACGTTTCACAATGCGGTTTTAGGTGTCTGCCCTGCTGAATATGTGGGCTGGGGGTGGGGGGTGGGATTCCTTGTGGACTGCTCTAGTTTAGTCCCAATGTAGAAGCAAGGGATTAAGGCCATGGGTCAACAGCTTCCTGCGTTGTTTGCTGCTCTCCATTGAAGTCATGATTAACACCTGGGCTTTCGTTCGTTTGGGTCCCCTCAGATACACCTATGAGCGAATTGATGGGCGAGTACGGGGAAACCTGCGCCAGGCAGCCATCGACCGGTTCTGTAAGCCAGACTCAGACCGCTTTGTCTTTCTTCTGTGCACCAGAGCGGGAGGCCTGGGGATCAATCTCACGGCTGCTGATACCTGCATCATATTTGATTCAGACTGGAACCCACAAAATGACTTGCAGGTAACCATTAGGATGATTGCTGTTTGCCTTAGCTGCCCCTGCATCTAAGAACATCACGATAGGGCCTGGCTTGCTAGAGAGTGTCTGCCATGCTCCATGCTAGGGCATCAGCTGGACCGCAGGCTTTTAGAGCCTCGGCCAGGGGGTGAAACTGAACGAAAAGTAAATGTCACCCTTTCCCACTAATCAGAGAGTGGTTCTTTTTGCTTTAAACCAAATGGTTTTTCACAGCGGTAACCTCCAGATAAAGAATAGAGCTATTTATTATCAGACATAAAGAAAAATATTAAGCTTGACTAAGCCTCTAATTTTTGACATGTAGATTGATTCAGGCATTTTCATTGGTTGGTTTGTGAGATGGTCTTCTGTCCTAGATAGTAAAGGAGACACCTAACCCCAGGTTCCGTTGTGTGGCCAGGGTGACAGGCGCCCTCCCTAGTTCACTTGCTGTCTACCTAATCTGCATATTAGAGATTCTGTGTGCCCAGTTGAGTGAATTTGCAGACATGTTTGTTAGTTTTAACCAGACTAGATAATTGGTGGCTTTAAAAGATTCTTGTAAAGATTGGAGTTAATACAGTTTTTTTAAAAAAGCATGAACAAGAAAAAGAGCTAACAGTTCTCTGGATCAGAGTTCTTTATCCACCCTGCTTCAAAGTAAAAACAGTAGCATTCTGGCCAGATAGGACAGTATGTCTGCTAAAAAGATTCTAACTTGTCAAGAATACCATTTCTAGATTTACCTCCATTTTCATTAATGATCAACTCTGGGGGCGCCTGGGTGGCGCAGTCGGTTAAGCGTCCGACTTCAGCCAGGTCACGATCTCGCGGTCCGTGAGTTCGAGCCCCGCGTCGGGCTCTGGGCTGATGGCTCAGAGCCTGGAGCCTGTTTCCGATTCTGTGTCTCCCTCTCTCTCTGCCCCTCCTCCGTTCATGCTCTGTCTCTCTCTGTCCCCCAAAAAATAAATAAACGTTGAAAAAAAAATAAAAAAAAAAAAATACAGGAAAATCTTAAAAAAATAAAAATTTAAAAAATGATCAACTCTGCCCTAAGTATATATTGAATGCTGGGATATTTGCTAATGCCAATATGGTGAGTGGGGAGGGTGGTGGGTGGCTCAGAACCTTTTTCATGATACAGGTGATTGATAAAAGAAGGTTGGAGGCTGCTGTGCCACAAAACAGAAGAGGTGCCTTAGGGGATGCTGCAAGGGAACACACGCTGGGAAAGGAGCTCAGCTGGGGGCATTTTACCCACCACTTCACAGTCATTTGGCTTTGCCTTTTTCATTTAATGAGTTTCCAAATAAAATTTTGTTTGAAGAAAGCAGTCTACTAGATGGCACTTTAAATTATTAAATTGGTGACAATTGGCTGAAACCCAGGGGGGGAAACTCATTTGTAAACCAAATTGTGTGGCACTGTTTCAACATCCAACTTCAAAGAAAATCAGTGGACATGACTATTTCCCCATCAGGCCTTTCTACTGGTGAAGGGATATTTGGGTCAAAGGTGAGTTGCTAGATATAATGAATAACCAATTTTTAAAGGAATGCTATACTCAGCACTAACATAAAAATAAACAAAAGTTAGTATTTGATTAGGTAACTAGCAAGAACTTAATTAGGTAGTGATATAGATTAGGTGGTGCAGAACTGTTGCCCATGGCTAACCAGTTTTAAGTAGTTTTACTGGAATACAGCCACACCCATCCGTATACATATGATCTCTGGTGCTGTCATGTTACAGTGACAGAGTATCGGAATGGAGACCATAGCCCACAACATCTCAGATATTCACTATTATAGAAGTTTGCTGACCCCGATACAGGTGATCTCCTAAGTCCAGTTCTGTGCTCCTTTGCAGTGCTCATCTGACTATGAGGCTTGGTACCTGGCCAATTTGAGGCCATGGTAGCTGGATATGCCTGGAGGAATTTCCAGGAGGGAAATTGGAAACATAAGGCTGGCATTTGGAGGCAAGTCATGGTCAAGGCAGAGATTTGGGGATCACCATGCTTGATCTAGGTGAAATCCTAGACATTACCAGTTGCAAATAGGTGCCAATGCCAAGAGATAGGAAAGGGCAGAAATGAGAATGGTCAAGCCTGGTAGAGAAGGTGAAGTCATTTGAGGTGATTGATTTGTATGTGTAGCAGCCAGAGGGGGTACGTGGGGCTGTCCAGAATTAGGGTCTGGGAAAAAGGGAGAAGCTTTGGAAAACCTGTTTTTAATGTCCACTGCTGGGGAACTGGCAAGAGATGAACAAAGGAATAGCAGCGAAGTCACATGGAAATTGGTCTGTGTGAGACTTCCAGTGGAGTCAGTCTCTGAACTTCCTCTAACGCTCTGCCTCAGTGAAGGAACAAAGACCACCAGCACTGCAGGCTATGCAGGGAGGGGACAAGAGCCAGGAATGTGGCAGAAGGTAAACGAGTGAGGGCCTCAGTGACAGTGGGAGCTGCAGGTCCCAGTTAGTTAGAAGTCCTCAACCCGTGGGCTCCAGACTGGCCACTGTGCCTTCTACATCTACTGCCCTCTGCTCTATTGTTGTCATTGTTATTTTCATGTAAAAGTTTTGTAACTTAGAGGGACCAGTCCTTTATTTTTGAAATGTCAGCCAGACTGGGGTAGAAATTAAAAGATTGGGAAGAGTAATGTTAGGGCAGGGAGGTGGGATCCGTGTTAGTGGGGAGTGGGGTTGGGGGGCTGTGAGGAAGATGAGAGAGTCTGGACACTGGGACCCTGAGACCATCCCAGAACTACAGGTGAACGCAGCTGTGAACATCAGTGAGCTGTGTTCCTAACCCTAACAGTAGAAAACTTAACCAGACTGCTCCCCAGTACTATCCTTGCTAGTTACGTCATGTTAACTTACACACAATCATTCACACATGTGTATATAATCTAATATTTTTGGTTAAATGCGTGAAAGCTTTCAGTCATCTGTAATTCTTTACGGTTATTGAAGAACTACAATTCCTGATCTGATAGATGATGATTGTATTTCTCTTGGGAGATGGCCTTGGCATAGAACACCTATCTGTGTGTAGACTGAGATGTATTCTGCCTGGTATCAATGTCAGGGCCACAGATGGGAGAATCTCATTATGAATAGGGTCTCACGCCCTACCCTAGTGGGATTTCAGCATAGCTCCAGAGGTCCAAGTTCAGATGATAGAAAGTGTGAGTGTTCACTCTGGACTCAAACAGCCTGGAAAGATTTGGTGCAGTCCGTGGTTATCCCCAGGCAAGCCAGCATGGAGAAGCAGTGCCAATGTTGGGACGCTGTTTCTTGACTGATCCAAGGCAGACCCTCTCAGAGCGCTGGAAGTGAAGCCAACCTGAGTAGGGGAGGCTGGGCTCAGCTAAGTAGGCCCGAGGCCCTGAGAAGGGTCTGCAGACAACCAGCTTCCACAGCTAGAGAACATAGTTTCTTTCTCTGAGAAGTCAGCTGAAAGTCAGAGAGCAGTGTTACCATTTCTGGTGCAGGCTTCATTATTCTCAAACATTCATTCGTTCAGCCTTCTCTTTTAACCATGTTGCTGGGGTTTTCTGTGCTATGGGGATAGAATTAGGCTTAGGAATTGCTAGAGGTTTTTTTTTTTTTTTAATCTAGGTCTTCATAAAACAAATGACATCAAGTGTCACATGCTATTTCCTTTGGTCTTGTTAGAACCTGAGGAGTCCAGTAAGTTCTATCTGTCTTCCATGCCTAAATCTGAACCAATGAAGAAATAGACACGGTAATACAGTGGAGGATCAAAAGATGAGCTTAATAGACTGTGAAGGTGGATTAGATGACACAGCTTGACCTGTAGCCGGAATGGGGCTCCCTCAGACTCCTGCGCTCGTACACCCTCACCACAGAGAACCGCTGGCAGTCATCTGTAGAGCAGAGTCTGCCCACTCAGGACCGCCAGTGACAGAAAAGATGAGGGGAAGGGGTGAGTCCACAGGAGCTCGGACCGGATCTTACGTTTCACTGATGAGTCAGGTCTCCTCCATTCAGGATAGGGAGAGGACAAGGAGGGTAGAGAGACAGACTGTCATGTTCCTGCCTGGGAGCAGACATTCCCTGTGGAAGTACGAGGAGAGGGAACTAGGACTCTTCCTATAGTATCTACTCTGGGAGCACTTCCCTCCCAAACCTTCCAGACAAGTGAAGTTCATTAGGATCTAGGATAGGAACCAGGCACTGCTCAGGGATAATGAGAGAATAAAGTGACCACCAAAGGACTGCAGCAGTCTCCGAGGTGAATCAACTTGAGGTCCTTTAATAAGCAGACCTTACCTGGAGGTCTCAGGTAAATGCTACCTGTTCTCTCTCACCTTGAATATGTCTATGTTAGTGTCCGTGTGTATAAGAAAATCAGAAGCGTAGATTCACTCTATGTCACCTTTGTTTGGGAGGCACAGCTGTGACCCAGTCCTGGTGCATCAGGTTTCCTGGAGCACCCAAATTAAGAAATGGCAAAGGGTGTTGACAGTAGCTTGAGGATGATGAAGAGCAGTGAAAAGCAGGTTTCTTGTCTCCCCTGCAGGAAGCCAGCAGTGCTCCCAGCTCAGAGGTCAGAGACAGGCCTATGGGAGTAGCAGGGTACCAGGGTACCACGCATCCCCTCACCGAGACCATGAGCACCTTGCTTTCTCATTGCTCTGTGACACTCCTTCTCCTCTGGGAGCTTCCTGCTCTTTAAGGCCAGAGTTCCTGTGGGTTGGACTGGGCAACTGTGGTGGGTCCATAAGGTTCCTTGTCTGTCCTGTTGATAAGGTCCCTAAAAGGAGGATTCAGAAAGCATGGGAACAGGGCCACTGGCAGAGGGCACTGCCACAGGGGAATGCAGCAGCTGTCTGTCCACAGGATCTGGGAAGGGAGAGGGAATCCAGCCCTGACCTCAGAGAGCTAGATTCCACTGGCTTTACTTTTCTTTGCTGGAAGAAAGTTCAGAATTTGTGAATGTTCCATTGTGTAGTCCATTCGTTCAGTATTTGCTGAGC